TACATACATACATACATACATACATACATACATACATACATACATACATACATACATACATACATACATACATACATACATACATACATACATACATACATACATACATACATACATACACATACATACATACATACATACATACATACATACATACATACATACATACATACATACATATACACATACATACATACATACATACATACATACATACATACATACATACATACATACATACATACATTACATACATACATACATACATACATACATACATACATACATACATACATACATACATACATACATACATACATACATACATACATACATACATACATACATACATACATACATACATACATACATACATACATACATACATACATACATACATACATACATACATACATACATACATACATACATACATACATACATACATACATACATACATACATACATACATACATACATACATACATACATACATACATACATACATACATACATACATACATACATACATACATACATACATACATACATACATACATACATACATACATACATACATACATACATACATACATACATACATACATACATACATACATACATACATACATACATACATACATACATACATACATACATACATACATACATACATACATACATACATTACATACATACATACATACATACATACATACATACATACATACATACATACATACATACATACATACATACATACATACATACATACATACATACATACATACATACATACATACATACATACATACATACATACATACATACATACATACATACATACATACATACATACATACATACATACATACATACATACATACATACATACATACATACATACATACATACATACATACATACATACATACATACATACATACATACATACATACATACATACATACATACATACACATTACATACATTACATACATACATACATACATACATACATACATACATACATACATACATACATACATACATACATACATACATACATACATACATACATACATACATACATACATACATACATACATACATACATACATACATACATACATACATACATATGTACATGCATGCATACATACGAGAGAGGGAGAGTGGGGAGAGAGAGGCTTGGGGGGATGGGGAGGATGGGAGCAGAGGGAGGGAGAGAGGACGACAGAACACACAAGGGAGACAAGGAAGAGAGGAAGAAGGAGAAAAGGGAGAGGACAATGTCGGCGGACTGAGCCGGAGGCTCTAAAGTACATGTATATGTATATCAGTTGGAAGCTCTGGAGGCTTCCTTTCAAAGGGTTGCCTTCGTTTGTTTTACATCATTTTGGCCCCCATTCCACTCGAATACATGTCCTTGAGGCGGAGTATTGTGGGGATCCCTGATATATATATATATATATATACACATTATATTACGCTATCATTGAAATGGTGTGTGTGTGTGCCTATATCATGGAGCTATTTGATAGGTCAAGGCGCTTTCGGGCCTTGCCTTCCGTCATTCTGACTCCTTGGGTGAAACCGCCCCCGCGTCTTCCCCCCCCCCAAGTGCTTGGGCAGCTGTCCTGCAGGAACACACCCAGTTTGCCTTCAAGACGGAGAAACCCAAAAAAAGAGGGGTCCTTCGCAGTTCTTCATCTCCTATTTCCAGAGGTAGCCTGTGCCAAAATTGGCTCTTGTTTGGGCATCACCCCTATGAGAACTCACCACAAAGGGCCAAACAGTGATGTTTAAAACCGACAGGGAATATAGCGACTCTCTTTTTGAGTGGATTGGCGGAACAAAGCTAAACTTTGTATTTACCACTAAAAGATGCTCCCAACCCAAAAAGTGATGAATGTCCAACTCGGGAAGTGACCCCTGGACTGCTCCAAAGGGGATAACTCGTGCCTGAGCTTCGCTCCTATGATAAAGCTCAAATGGCTCCCTGCGTTTCCCCTCACATCAAGGGAAGCTTGAAAGCCAAATTTTAAGAAATCTAACCCCTGGATGTGCTCATTCGGGTGTCTTCGTTTTGTTTGGGCACCCCTTTTGGTAACGGAAACTGCCGGGAAAACCGAGCTCCGTGTTCGGGGGTCGCATGGGTCTCACCACCCATTGGGGCCCGGGAATCCATCCAGGTCCTCCGGAGAGGTTAGAATCAGTTGGTACTGTTTCTTTTTGCTTTTTGTCTATCTTAGGGGAACCCTCCCAACCAAAAAATGCAAAAAAATGTTTCCCAACAGCAACCATGGAAAGGGGTCAAGGGCCACTTCGCTGGGGCACCTCGCCAGGTGCCGCACCTTCCCAAGTCCAAGCGGCCGCCTCGGTGGAGTGCCTCCCACGGTCGAAGGTGGCAGCGATGAACTCGGTGTAGCTGAAGGCCGGGAAGGCTTGGTCCGCCTGCCGGAAATGTGGAAAAATTATCGTGTCACGCGGTTTTTGGCGCTTGCTTTGACGGTTTTTTGGGGTTGTCAAAGTCGGAAACTAGTTGGAGGGTGACTTTGAGAGTGGTGCAGTGATTTTTGACTGTTTCTTTTTTTTTGCGGGGGTTGTCAAAGTCGGAAACTGGGTGGTGGTGTCCCTTTAAGCCACCATTTGGCAGGGGTGACTTTGATACTGTGATGGTTGCGAAATCCATTTCGCACCACCGTTCAGAAACCCTGGTTTCGGATGATTCCCCTGTAAATTCCAACAAACATTGGTTTCAACCATGGTGTCAAACTGGTGCAGGATTTCGTCTATCCACAGTAGGATTTTTCACCCCAACGAAGCCATGTGGCCATGGGTCAAAACCCAAATCGCACCCCCACGGAACATCCCAATCCCCACTAAAATAGGTTCTAAAATGGTTGGTGAATTCACCTTCCCCAAAATAGGATCTTGGTTTTGACCCACAGCCATGTGGGTCAATCTGTTTTTGAGTTGGTCCCCCTTTTGTTGTGGCTTTAAAGGGAAACCCAACAGGAAAACATACGCAGTGCTCTGCTATAATTTCACTTCCATCGGGTGGATAGGCCAAAAAAGGCGACCATAACTGTTTATTTGCCGCCACGATGGTCCAACCCGGAAAAGTGACTCAAGTCCAGAAACTTTGAGGCACCCAAGCGAGTTGTTATGTGTCACGGCGGCGTAGAAGAGCAGGAACTCGATTTTCAAGAATATCTTCCCGGACATAGGTGGCCTTTTGAAAAAAACAGATGCCCATCTAAACCAGGGCCTCTATTTTTTAAGCAAATGAATCAAAAAGGACACCTATGTGCCCAGACCTCTGCTTTTCTTCTTGTCGTGAGCTTGGTCATCTCCTTGTGGATGGACGAAAACCATGGATGAAACTGAAAACTGGTTGATAAACCTCCTTAGTGCGAAATGGATGTTGTCCATCCAAAGTATTTATAGACATCACTGTGCACGTGTATCTGATGGAGGTAAAGCATGTATTGGTTTATGTTTATATATAGCATTATATGTGTATGATCTACACGCACCACACACACACACAAATTGGGCACTGACTGCAAACTACTGCAAATCCTTAAGTGAAAACACAGAGTAGGGCAATGGACACCACTAGTGCTATGACACATTGTCACCTACAAGAACTGACTGTGATGGTTCTTGGAGTAGCAAAGAGACAAATGCCCCAAGAAGAACGTATTGGCTTGGTACAAGTTGGACCTATGCAAAGATGCCTTAGGCAAGGAAGAGATCTCCCAAATGGTCATCTGACCCATCAATGACAAAACATGAGTCACAATCAAAACTTGGTGTTAAAATGGTCGTAATCCCAGAACCATGCTTCAAGAAATAAGAAGGCGCAGCTATTTATGGCTGGGATTGTCCCTTACTATCCTTCATCTACCCGGGTTTTGATTGTGGCTTCTCGGCTTGGCCCTGGTTTACCGCAGCTCAGACCGCTTATCGGCGTACTGCAATAGTTAGCGTTCCGCAGCTCGCAAACATGGCGAGCGTTTGCACCTAACGCAGGCTGCCCTCGGATCGCTGGGAAAAGTTTAACTTTTAGTGGGTCAAATGGAAACCTCCACCAAAACCTAAAAACCTAAAAACCTAAAAACCTAAAAACCTAAAAACCTAAAAAACAAAAAACCTAAAAACCTTAAGGGGACGGCTGGAAATCGCCAAGAGACGATGCATTGGGTTGCCGACATACGTGCTACACTCTTAAGCAGTCACACACATTGGCAACCCCGCAAAATGGTGGGGTCCTCCAGCTGTACTTTCAAAGCAACCCAACAAAAGAGTACACCCACCCGGCTCCAATTCAAGCTTCCCAAAGAGAGCCATCCTAAACCCTAAGCCAACCCTTGCCATGCTGGTTTAAGGGGGCCGCAAGGCCCTATTTTTCTGGCCTTCATCTTGGTGTCTCCAAAAAAGGGTACCGAACTTCAACCCAAAAAAACAGACACACAAACACACACACACACAAAACGCCCATGATGTTGACCCCGGATCCAAGTCAAAGCTGTCATATTGGGGGGATGTTCCCTCCAGAAGTGACCTGAACCCCCCCCTAGGTGGGCACAGATGCCAGGCTTTTGCCTGCTACACTCAGCCATATGCCCACTCAAACCAACCACCGCCTAGATTCTCAAATGACCCCGACCCTGATTTGCGCGCTCGCTGAAACATTCGACTAGCGTGCTCCATTGCTTGAAAGCGGGCTTGGCTGGCCTTGAATTGTGGTTCTGCTGAGCTGATGAAAGTGAACACTCAACCGGGGGTTCTACCTAGATCTGGGGTCAATATTACACCACATGAACCATAAAAACCACAAACTCAAACCAGAAGATCCGGAGCTTACCATAAAAAATCTGGAGACTTCATCCGGGCAAACGTCTTTTTCAACCCCAAAAACCATTTGCTTCGGTACCCCATGCGGCCTGAAAGGAGTCCTGCTTCTGCAGCACCGCTTTGGACTTGCTCTCCTTGCTACCCGCCCTGTAGCCTCGGACGCCGGCGAGCGGGACCGCGGGAAACCGCGGGCCCTGGAACGGCCCGGCGAGCGAGCCGGGAGGCGCCGTGTTTTTGTTTTTTTGTCTTTCCCGTTTTCCCCAAGGCTGCGAGGCGGAGCTTAGGAGCTCCTGAGCTTCTCTCACCACGACCTGAATACTGTGGATGGAAAAGCAAAATCCAATTCGCACCACGAAACGAACCCATGGTTAAAACCACTTGTTTGTTGGTACAAACGTTGGGGAATCATCAACAGTATGCGCAGAGGCTCCCGACTTAGTTAAGTAGAAAAAGGCACTCAAGCAGCCAGGTTTTGAGACCCCCAAGCACCAAAGCGGGTGTCTATTGGAGGGGTCGGGTCTTCCGTTGAAGGCCCCAGGAGCCTCTGGTTGCAAAAAAAAGAAACCCACCATTTTGGGCGAGCGATCCCTATTTTGAGCAAGACCCGGGAAAACCTTGAGCCCGCAGTGCAGTGCCTTGATTTTCCAAGCGAAGGGCAATGACCCAACCAGACAGGCCCCTGCAAGCAATCTCTGGAGAAAAAAGTGACCCCGCATACCGCATAGGCACCTACCAAACCAGACCATATGGAAATCTTGGGGCTCCCATTTGCCCCACGCATGCCCTTGGAATTACTGTAGCCACACCCGGGAGTCACACTTGAAATGCATGAACCTCACCTCTTTTCCAATCAAATGCGAACAGCTCAAGGGGGCGGGAGCAGCCTTCTTGCGAAGGTCACACCAATGTGTGCAAGTCAATCTGCAGAAAATGAAGGTCCATTTGAGTCCGTCTTTTGTTGAGGGTACCCGTTTCGGGGTTGGCTTAAAGGGAAATCAACGGGAGAGCCGCATTTTTGGGGTACCCTTATTTGACACGGACTCTCTTATTCCTTGAAAGAGGATGCGTGTTTCCGCAAGCACGCCATTCATAAAGCCAAAGGGGAAGAACACCCGTGCTACGTCACTCGGCTCTGCACCTTGGGCGGAGAAGATATCCTGCCGCCGGTGCCGCGGTGGCCCACCGGGAAGGGATCCGTCTGTTGGGCTTCGAGTCCGGGTACTTCATCCGGCTCAAACACTTGGGTGTGTCGTTCTTGGGGGGGAACCCCCCTCTTTTATGGTCATGCAAGGGAAACCAGGAGGACACCCACCCATTTCATGCGGGTAAAATGACTCGTGAGACGTAATTAAGCCACTGGCCTCAAGCAGTTTGGCGCCTCACGCCAGAAGGTGTCCGACCCCGCAGAAAATCGCCGTAGATTTGGGATGGTCTTTTGTAGGGTTCGGACCCCCCAAAATGGTGGTTTTCCTTTTGAAAACCCTTTGAAACCACGAAAACGGAGGTAATTACACAACTGCAGCAAAAAACGACACACCCATTTCGCCAAGACGAAACAAATCAACATCAAAACCGCGGGTCCACTGGCCCAGCTGCTGGAAACAAAAACCGCCACGTGCACATGTGCTAAGCGCGAACAAGAATCCAGAAGCTCCCAGATCAGGCAGCTTCGCAAAGTCGAAGTCTCCGAGCAGCACAGTGCAAATACACATGTATATATATATATATATCTATATGTATACACATATATATATATATATATACATATATATGTACATGTATGTATATATATATATACACATATATACATACTGTGGATGGTTGCGAAATCCAATTCGCACCACAAAATGAACCCATGGTTGAAACCACTTGTTTGTTGGTATTTCCTTGGGAATCATCATTTCAGGGTTTCTTGGGTGGTGCAGATTTTCGTCCAACCACAGTGTATACATATATATATATATATACATAGACAATTTATGTAAAGATACTAGTTGGTCTCCAAAGGGTTTCTCAAAATGGACTTCGGTGTCGCCTTTTGGTTGGTGGCTCAAGGTGAACTAAAAGGAAACTAAGTGCTTTAGGGGACCACTATTTTGCAAATGTCAGACATGGGTGTCACTTTTTTAAGCGGGTCCCTGAATTTGGGACGTGTTCCTATTAGTTTCCCTGAAAGACCATCCAAAAAGAGGTACAAGCGCCATGTCAAAACCAAACACACGCACACACACACCAAGGTTCCCTTTTTTGACTACCCCAACATAGACTTAAACCCAGAGGTTCTCCTTTTGGGGGGTTTTGAACCACCCCTGGGTTTGAGTCAAACGTAGGGGTGGTCAAAAAGTGGAACCCGGACCCACACACGCACACACACATGACGCCATCAAGATTTGGTCCGTCCTCGGAGACACCTGCGGCATCGGGCCTTAGGCGCTTATGGCTCGGTCTTAGGGTAGTTTTCCTCCAAAATCGAGGTGCCCTTTTGGTTTTTCTTGAACATGTTTTTTTCGGACAAAATCCTGCACCATTCGGGGTGGATAAAAAGTTGTAAATACTGGCTGGCAAACCGTCTACCAAGGTGCGAAGTGGATTGTGTCTACCCACTACGACCTTCTAATTCTCAAGGGTTGAAAGGAGTGGTTTGAACGTTTCGGTCGTCTCTGTTGAAGTACATGGCAAAGCAACATGTTTCGATTGCCACGGATGCCACGGCTCCAATGACTTACCCATCCCAAGTCCCATAACAAAGCTGAACAGCATCCGTCCGCTCTTTTGACCACCAAACTTATTGCAGTTCACTGGGAAATGCCGAATGGCCGTTCATTTTGGAACCGAGCTTTGGAAGCTTTGGATCAGGTTTTCAGGGGTTGAGTAATCATCAAACCCGATCGGTGGTCGGGACCCAGAAAACCATGTTTCAAGAATTCAAAAGGCGGAATTCCGCACTCGTTTATGGCTGGGATTGTCCCTTACCCTTCAATTGCCCGGGTTTTGATTCGTGCCTCAGTTGATCAGTCGACGGATTCTTCGCCCGATGTCCGCGTCTGCTGCTTGCTTCACAAAGGGCAGCTTGTGAAACCCCACCATTCACTCGGAGGGCATGGAGCGTATCAACTTGCACAGGGCTCCTGGGAATTCTCCTTGAAACATTAGGGACACTCACCAACGGGCCATCAGGAAATTGGCGTGTTTCTCCAACTTAGGGACCCCTTCATGTTGGCTTCCTTTTGGTTTCTTCTCGCCATGCCAGCACGGAACCCCCGTTGAGAAACCCCATGTTGGGTGTGTGGTTGGACCGAAAGGCTTGGGTTTCTCTTGGTTGTCCTTGTCCTTCCACTTGCTGCTGCTCAGCCGGGAATCAGGGAATGACCTTTGTTACCATCCGACCCCTATGGTTTCCTGTATCTGGGAATCCCTGAAACGGTTCATTCCCACATTCCCTACCGAGTTCGCACCAGCAAGAACAAAGAACCTCGGTCCCTTTAGGAAGATGGTCCAAACCAGACCCCGGGGGTGCTATCTGGGGTAGACTTGGTCCAAACCTCATTCGCTGATCGCCGGGTGAAAACCGCAATCAAAACCCGGTACAAAATGGTCGACCCGCAACCATGTTTCAAGAATTCAAACGCCGGAATTCCGCACCCATTTCTGGCTGGAATTCCGCTGGGATCGTCCCTCACCTTCACATTTCCCCGGGTTTGGGGCACGTGGCTCAGGTGGCTGGTTTCTGAAAAGCAACACATGGGTGTGTCTTTCTGTGGAGCTGGTACCTCTATCTTTGTGGTGTGTTAAGGGAAACCAACAGGAAAGTTGCTGTGTTGGAGGTCCATATCCTGGTGGCTGAATTTTGACCCATACCCACATGGCTGTAGCTCAAAATTCAAGATCTAGGGATACGCGGTTTTAGTCTTTGGTTCAAAATTTACCAAGGTGCCATGTTGGTACTACTTTTTTGAGCAGCCACATGGCCACCAGGTGAAAACCAACCCAAAAAAATCCAACCCAAATGAAAGATGCCAACCCAAAAAATCCGAAAGCTGAGGCGCGGCTTGGTCTTGAGCTCCTGCATCGCCTCGCGGAGCTCGGTGAGGGTCACCTCCCCGTCGCCGTCTTTGTCCAGGTACACGAACCTGGAGGACGGCAAGTGGATGGCTCCAAATGGCTGTCTCAAAACTAGGTACCCAAAATGGGTGCCTTAGTAAATGGAAACATGGACGAACACCTGCGGTCCAATTCCTGGTAATTTTGAACACCCAAATGAGTCAAAAGCTATGGCGAACAGACTTTACTGGGTGGGGAAGCAACCTCGCCTATAAGTGGAGAGGTTAGACTAAGGATACCGACTTTCTTCTTGTTTGTCTATGTTAGTAGGGGAACCCTCCCCAAAAAAAGTTGGTCAAAGGGCACCACTGGGGAACCTAGGATGGCTTCGGTGATCCAGATTAATAGCCTTTTAAGGGTTGGTGTAAAGGACAACCACAAGATAAAACATGTTTATTGAAAAATGGGGAGGGGGGATGTGGGTTGGCTTGAGGAAAATAACAAAACCACATGCTTTTGGTTTTGTCTGCTCTTGAACTTGCCCTTTGGAGATCAGGGAAAAACCTAGAAACATGCCGGGAGTGAACTACCTACACCTCCATTCTCTTAAGTCCCCTGGAGCAAAAAAACAAAGCATATTTTCAGCAGTGGTAGACTCGTACAACAAATTTATTTCGGCAAATGGGAGTATACGATTCATGTGCACAGTTGCCCCAGAAGGGTGACAGCATGCACTAAAATTGGTGCCAGCCAACTGATGCTAGTCAAAAACTGGACCCCTGCAGCCAACCACCTAACTTGGTCGAGTCTACAAAGCTGCACCTTTGCTCGAGAATGTTGAAGATGTATCTCGCCAAACAGGTCATTCCCAACATGGATGGCTTCCTTTTGGTTGATTCGAATTCACCGAGAAAAGGGTACGCTCGCAGAAAGGCATTCTCGCGTTTCCCAGTGGCAACCTGGTGTATACCCGAGATCACCTAGACACCAACCCAAGCGGTGAAGATCATCTGTTCATTTTGCCAAAGCGCAAGTCTCGGCCAGGGCGAATCACCTTCTCCGGCAGCATGCTGGCGATGACAGCGAGCGAGACCTGCAAAGCCAAAGAAGCCAAAGGGGGCAAGACTGGGCTCGACTGGATTGCCAAAGATTTCATGGACCACCTCCTCCCTCCTCCTGCTCTGGTCTTTGCATCTGCTGCTGTTGAAGAAGGCATATCTAAGTCCTCCAGTAGCGAGGTTAGAATAAGGGTACCCTCTTTTCTGGGGGAGATACCCTGTCTTCCACAAACATGGCACCGGACAGGAGGTCTCTCCTACTCCCCCCCCCCCCACCACAGGTGCCATGTTCGAGGAAGGATGGCACATCGCGTGTTTTGATTTGCACGTCCGTCCCTTGTTTGTGGCTTTTGAAGGGTCACCAACAGGAAAAACAACTTCTCTTTTGTTGGGGGCCGGGGGGGGGCAACCTAAAAAGACACACCCTTGTCGAAGAAAGAAAGGCCGAGGACACTAAGCCTGTAGGCCCACTCTCGACGCTCAACGCCAAAGACATGGTAGAAGGACCGCACTCTGATCGTAAGAAATGCTTGTTCAGGGCGAATGAAATCCATTCAGGAGCACCCAGCCTGCGCCAAGTTACAATAGAAACCAGTTCTTGTGGTGGGATGCTATGGCGAACAGACTGCACTGGGTGGGGAAGCAATCTCTCCTATAAGGATGAAGGATCCTTTCTTGGAAAGTCTCCTACTTTAGAAATATGACTGATAGAGCACCCAGAACTGGGGTTTCGCCCGTCCCGCCAAACACAAACGCGGCTGATGGGCTCTGGCCAGTCCGCTACCAGCGAATTATTGAACCGGCTGTTACCTCCAAAGCAATGCAAAATAACTCAACACGTACACCAATCGCATCACCAGGTGGGCATGGGTCAAACTTAAACCGCGCAGGTTTTAGTCCGAGATCCATTTTGGGTACCTTTTTTTGATGATGCTCCTTACCAACAAAACTGAACATCGTGCAATCGTGCATGAGCCATGGTCAAAACTCACCCCTGCTACCAGGTGGATGACCATCCCTTGCGTCCACGGAGAGCCTGACTCTATTCGTCGAGGCTCATGCAATCTACCGAGTGAAAAGAGAGCTCCCGCAGGGCGGTGGCCGAGCAATAAAAAGCCTCGAAGACCCGAGGCGAGTCAAAAAGGGGGGGACGAAAACACCCCCAAAGCAAAAGACCCCCAAACAGAGAAAAGGGGGGACCACCTTAGCGAGCTTCGCCCCGTAGCCGCTCAAGCACGCTGTTGCGGCGAGCGGGCATCGCGGGTTGACTTTGCCATTTGGCAAGTGCGATGCATCCATCACTATTGGATGGACGTTGGCTAGGGGTATGAAAGGGCTGAAGTGGGCGAACTCTGTCAGGGAGTCCCTTCTGTGTCCATGCAGTGTCGCGAGCAAAAAGGCCCTGAGCAAGGGTGGTCGCGACGTTGAACTCAGCATCACCAAGAAAGTACGGTATAATCATCCACTTGATGTCGTCGACAAATGGATGAAGCGGTCGAACCTTCTTGAAGCATGAGTTGAAGCCGGGAACAACCTCTCTGCCAATTGTCCTGCTGAGCAACCTGAAAATCACAAGCAAAACGTTAGCCTGCCGCCTGATCGATTGTGTGAGGTCACCCCGCCAGTGCCATGTGTTCTTGTCCCTGACGGGCAAGCCTCTGCCAGTGCGCTCGTAGAACAAGAGTCCAATCAGAATGATCGGTGTCCCACTGCCTGCTTGAGCAGGTTGACGTTTCCAGCGAAGGGTGGCCAGGAAATTGCAAAAGTACCAAATGAAGTCAGCAGGAAAAACAGTCTCAAAACCAGGTACTTCGCTGCAGTCGACGTACGCTTCGCCTGCCAGCTGCTCAGAGGTGCTCGGGGTGTTGTCAAGCACAGCAGTGAGCGTGGAGTTGAAGGCGCCTCAGTTCCTTTTTTCGTTGCAAAAACCCTGGCAACTTGGACATGAAGTTGGGCGAGTTCAGTCAGAGTTTGAATCATCCGCGCGTCCTCTGCGATTCCGCGGATCGCTAACTGCTTAATGTTGGGCTCCCACAACTCATGGGCTTCATTAGCAGCTCGGTCTGCGGTGTCGTTACCTCTGATAAGGAATGCATCATGTCCAGAAACGGCTGTTGCAATGTTTCGATGCGCCTTGACCCAACTAACTCCGAAAACCGCAGCCGGGCGACCGTGCAATGCGTTGTACACGTTCCGGACCAGGTCAGAATTGGGTCTGCGAGCAAAATGGTCTGAAAGTCCACCGGTCTGCAGATCATGAATGATGCCGGCTGCATACTGAGAATCTGTGTAAACTGTAGCATGCCAAGTGAGTTCAAGCACACAAAGAATAGCTGCAAGTTCACCTCGATCTACACTCTGCAAAGGGCCGTCCAAAATCTGCTGAAAACTGTATCGTTCCTCCCCAGTTTGCGGATCAACGCAGACGCCGGCGTATGCAACCAAGCTGTAGCGTGAAGCAGGATGATGACCACTTGCATCTGTAAACCAAACCGAATGCGAGTTGTCATGGCGGCGCGAAAGAAACGGCTGCGGTGTGTGGCTCAAACAACCGAGAAAGGCGGACCTGGTTTGACTTTCCGAAGGCAACAAGTTCTCCCGGAGGGGTTCAGGGAGCTCATTCCACTGATCAAGTATGCTGGGCCGGGTGGCACGTATGCCTGAGGTTGCCGAGCAGCTAAGGAAACGGTGCTCCCGTGTATCCTGCTGGCCACACAAAGCGCACTCAGGGGCCCAGTTAGGGTTATACTGTGCGATCTCGGCATTTGCATACCTGGCCCCAGTGGCGGCCGTGCGGAGGAGTCCCTGCTCGTCTTCCGGAAAGCGACGGAGCACCTTGCGGAGTATGGGGGCGTCTACTGTGCGTGCCTGCCCAAGTATCTTCCTGCTGGCCAGGAAAGTGCCCTGTTCACGATGGAATCCGCGGGTGAGCAGGTCCTGTATGAGTCTCCAAGGCGAGTGGCGCAAGTCGAAGCTACCTTCTGGGGCAATTATCTGCATGTCGGGATCAAGGTCAAGATCACAAGCCTCAAGGGATTCGGCGAATAAACTCACAGGCCCGTCTAACGGGCGCACAAGCTGGGCGGTCCACAACTTACCTAAGTCAGGTTCTTGTGGCGGTGGCCGTTGAAGCCAAAGCCAAAGCTGACCGGGTGAGTGGATTCCTCCTGAAGGACCGCCAATGCAATGTACGGGTTAGCTCCCGCTCGACCCTGGCCGAGTGCCTTCTTGGTGGCTGTGATGTACTTGCCAAGCCGATTTTGTCCAAGTCTCGAGATGTTCATCCCCCACAAGGCTCGCGGGTGTGCTGCGCGTTTCACAAGCCCGAGCTTGACCCTGAATGGGCCACCCTGCTGACAAATGCGCTCAAGTGAGGAGGTGGCTTCCGCTAGTCGCTTTTGAACCGTGCGATTACGGGTGGCGTAAGTGAAGCAAAAATGCCCTCCAAGCTCCCGGACATCCCGAACGTGCGTGGGCTTTCCCAGGCTAAAGGTGAACTGGTCAAGAGAGCGGCGGATTGCCGGGTCAGTGGACCAAATGACACACTTGCTGGGATTAATGTGGAGATCAAGGGCGCCAAGAAACTGGACCCCAAGTTCAAGGCCGGGCACTAGCTCCTCAACTGCTGAACAGCACAGGTTGAAGTTATCGGCGAAGCTATCAACCTTGATTGTGGGTCGGGAAGTGACTTGGTGCCAGGCGGCTCCAATTGCAAGCATCGCGATGGGAGACAAGGGACAACCTTCCGGGAACCCTGTGCACGAATGGACCACGGGACATTGTGCCGGCGACTTTAGCTCGTCTAGTGAGGCGGTGCAGATTGTTGGCCACGATTGTATGAGCCAGGGAGGCATGCCGAGCTGTGCCAAAATGGCGAATGCGGCAGCTCGAGGTATGTAGTTGAAAGCTTTCGTAATGTCTAAGGACATACCTACAAGGGGTCCGGTGAGGCCTTGTTGGGCTGCCTCGATGTCCAAAGCTAACTGATACAAGAAAGCCTCAAGATGCCTGCCTGCGATGAATCCGCGCATGGCTGCGGGCATTATGCTTATCAACCAAGGCTGCAAAGTGGTAGCGCGGGCGGAGCACCAGGCTCTGTAGACACAAGAGAAAATAGTGATGGGCCGGCAGTCTCCAGCGGTTGATGGGTTGGTGAAGGAGTTGACTCGGGAAGCCAATTCCGGCCCTTTCCGCGGCATTAAGGAGGCAAAGAAGAGGCTCAATTACTTTCCGAGGAAGCGAGAGCAGTTCAGTACTCCTCCATCCACAAAGGGCAGGTGCTGTGTATTTCCCAAGTCTTCGAACTGCCTTGGTCCATTCCTCCCAGCGGATAGGTGGCAGGGTGACGGCTTGACTGGGCAAATCCGGAAGGACCAAATCAAGCGCGTGGTTCCAAAGGCTATCTGGCACAAGCTCCATCGATCATCACTACTGATTGCTAAAAGGGGTGGTACACGGCTGGGCTTGATGGCTTGGAAGGAAAGGCGTCCACCCTGACGCCAGTCTGCTGCAAATTTTTCCTGGCGTTTTTGGCGCAGAGCAGTGCGCTCTCGGGCAATTTCAGTTTGGCTAAGTTGCTTAAAGGTCTCAAGAATCATCAGCCTTTGCTCGCAGTTCGGATTCTGCAGCAAGCTGTTGAAATCAATGTATCTGACCTGGCGAGAGAGCCATTCCGAGAACTGCGTGCCCCGTCCTGGCCAAGCGTGAATTTTTCTGTCAAGCCGAATGAGCTGGATCCGTTCATCAAGGCTAAGGGGCCGATGTTGGATGCTCCACAGCGCATGCCACGTATGGAGTCGTCTGTGTTGGGCTATCAGACGTTTGTGCCAAGCAAGCGCTACAATTTCGTCAATTTCTCCCAGGGCATCAGGCCGCAAGGTGATTGGTGTGGCGGGTTTAGGCTGCGTTGCAACAATAGTTGCTTTGCGAGGTTCACCAGGGCAAGGGTGATTTGCGGCTTGACCAAGCCAAATCTCAGCTGCCTCACTCCATAGGCGGAAATGCTGGTCACATTCATTGACATTGGATATGGTGT